GGATATCTCAGTTTATCCTCCTATGGCCTACTGACCATTTCTATAGTAACCCTCACCAAAGTTCCCTTCCCTGACCATCTGTTTTGCTATGTGTTTTGTGTCTGCCCCTATTACAATGTAAGTTCCTTGAAGGCAGGCACAGCCTTATATTTGTATCCTTAGAGCTTAGCACAGTGCTAGTCACAGAGTGAGCAGTTAATGAAAACTTTCTCATTTATCCATTGTAAGGTATTCCATTATTGAATTTTTCCAGTTGTTAGGCAGTCCTTTGAAATATTATCTCAAAGACTTGTGTAGCCCTTAAAACTCTAGAAGTCCTCACCTGAACTCCCATTTTCACTGATGAATGAGATATTCAGAACAAGCCTCATCACTATATCTCCCCCTATGGGCTCCAGAGATATTCTTGAGGGATTGGGAAATTCTATCTTTAATACTATCAGCTTGAGACCCCATTCTGGTATGTGCTCCAAGTATCAAGCACCAATGATTAGCACCATATATTCATTTAGCCAACTAATGTCAATTAGTTTTTTCAAAGAGATATTTACCAGGGGGCAGCTAGGGGGCAGGTAGGTGGCAGCTAGGTGGCACAGTGGATAGAGCTCCAGCCCTGAAGTCAGGAGGACCTGAGTTCAAATACAGCCTCAGATCAAACACTTAACACTTACTAGCTGTGTGACTCTGAGTAAGTCACTTAACCCTAATTGCCAAAAAAAAAGAGAGAGATATTTACTGAGAAGATATATGAACAGAGATATAAACCATTCCCCCAAAACTAAGGATACACTCTCCCCTCTGCCACCCCAGTCCATAGAGATAGTGGTCTCAGACTTAAGGTTTGCTATAAAAAAAATTCATTCCCCACCCTCACTCCCCAGTCCACTTCTAAATTCAAACGAGCTACTGAATGAATCCTTGTCTCATCTACTGCTAAACTTGGTACTGCTAGGCTGAATCCCAAAGATTGTTCCTTGGGGACTTTACTTTTGGTCTGGCATAGACTCTAGCTCCCATACCTCTGAGGATACATCATTCTGACCTTCTGAAGTTCACAATGTCAGAGCTGTTTCCACTACTTTTTCTTCTACAGTAGTAGAGATCGGCCACAGTAAAAACCACCACCACCAACAACAAAAAAAAAAGCAAGAGTAGAGCCATGAGTCATTGGGGCATATTATTGGGATCCAGTGGGGAAATAAAGGCCTGAGGCCTCTCTGTCTCCACTGATGACTTTCAACTGTTCTTGACTCTCCACAGGTTCACATCCAGACTGGAAGGAGGATGAAACCTCACTGTGGTCATCTAATAGGGCTTGTTGAATACACACCCACTTCCAATTCACAGCCAAGCAAAAATGCTCCTCTTCACCACAGGGTCAACAGACCAGAACCAGCTATAGAATGTCTGGACATGCTCCAAGTCATCAGGCAAGGCCTGATGTCATACCTCTCCATAAGCAGACTTGCAGCCTCTTCCATGGGAGGATCTTATCAGCTGAGTACACTGTGCCTGCTCACCAGTCATCCTTTTTACTCAGAAAGTTAGCTTCCTATCTCAGAAGCAACCTGGTCCTTACAGAGCTTCTCAGCTTATCCCAAGGGGCTTGAGGGCCAATTGATAGTCAACCTCTCAACTTCAGGTGAGAAACCAAAGTAATTTGGCTTGTTACCTACAAACCAGCTAGGGGAGAGGCTGTCTTATTTTGCTCTTTCTCTATTAAACTAAGCTCCCCTCCCCCTATTCTGTAGGTCTACACTCACAGAGTGGGTTTAATGCTGTCAAATTCTTTGGGGCCCCTGCAATAACACAGGTACTCACATTTTTCTCTAGGGATCCCTGAAATTCAAAGAACATTCTACTAGAAGTCCAGAAAAAGAAAATCCTCAGTTGCCCCTTCCCACACAGGGCACACCAAGATCTTCTGAGTTACATTACTCACTAAGATAATCAAGTTAACTTCAAAAGAAAACTCAGGAAAGCCCTCCTGTAAGGCTCCCCCTAAAAATGATTAAGTATGTAGGGTTAATTACTCAGAGTTTCTAGGCCAACAAGCATACTTTATTTTGAAGTAAACCTTATCTGTTTAAAAGCAACATTTATCAGCTGGGCCGATACACTTGCAAGACTATAATAACATCGTAAAGGTGGTCACATTTTAGCAATCTCATAACCTGATCTAGATTGCTAACTAATTTAACAACAGCACTAACAAAGATTGGAAAAGCAATTTCAGACTTTCAGAAATATGTTCTATGGAAATTCACGAATTGCATCTATACTAGTGTACTAACACTTCACTAAAGATGACCAGCTGTCACCAAAGGAGAAATAGAGAAAGGCTTAGAAAGAGGAGTCAGTGTGAAATAGCGGAAAGATGATTGATTTTGAAGTCAGAGTACATGGGTTCAGATCCTGTCTTATTTACTACCTGTGTGAGTTTGATCAAGTCCCCTCCCCTCATCTGGAAAGTGGTAAGTTGGGCAAGATGGTATAGAAAGTCATTTTTTTACCTCTTAAATTCTATGATCCTGTTTTAGAATCTTTCCACTATAACAGTGTGTTCACATATTTGGCATGAGAGACATATATGTGTAATATCCAGTATTAAATGTGATGAAAACTAAGTCAGGGTATCCATTCATTTATGTGTTAGATACTGTGTGCTAGGTGCTGGGGATTAAAAGACAAAAAATGTCTCCTTAAGGAGCTTACATTCTACTACAGAAAGGTAACATGAATGCAAAGAATTACGTAGAAAAGATATACAGATTAAACACAAAGTAATGTTGGTGAGGGGAGAACACTAATAACTGGGGAGATGAGGGAAGCCCTCCAGTAGTAAGTGGCTCAGTGGAGAGAGTGCTGGGCTTGGAGTCAGGAAGACCTGAGTTCAAATACAGCCTCAAACATTTAGGAGCTGGGTGACCCTGGATAAGTCACTTAACCTGTTTGCTTCAGTTTCCTCATCTGTAAAATGAACTGGAGAAGGAAATGGCAAATCGTGCCAGTATCATGGTCAAGAAAACCCCAAATGGGGTCATAAAGAGTCAGAAGTGATTGAATAAGAAAGGGATTCTTTGAGATAGAGGTGAGAAGGGAGCCCATTTCAAGCACGGAGAGAGCTTTTGCAAAGGCACAGAAATGGGAGATGGACTTTCATGTATAGCATCAGTTTGGTTGGACATAGAGTGCATGAGAAGTGATAAGAAGTCAGTCACAAAAGACAGGCTGAAATCAGACTGAAAAAGGACTTTAAATGCCAAAGAGGGGGATTTGTTCTTTATTCTAGAAACATATGAAGCTACTGAAGCTTCTTAAGCAAGGAAGTGACATGGTCAGACCTGCACTTTAGGAACATCAATCATGCAACGGTGTGAAGAATGGATTAGAGAGATATGCAATCAAAGACTAGCTGTATCAGCAATTATTGAACATTTTAACATTAGAGGTCATTTAAGTAAATGCATGTACATTTTTGCAGATGATACAATTTAGAGAAATAACCCTTACTCAGGTTTGCATAGCACTTTAAGATAGTAAAAGCACTTTCCTCACAACAATCCAGTTAGGTTAAGTGTTACTGACCTCATTTTACATTGGAGGAAACTGAGACTCCTAAAAGTTGTCTAAAGTCAGAACTATTTCTAGGTTGGAGCTGGGGCCCAAATCCAGGTCTTCCAACTCCAAAAAGAACAGCAATTTTTTTTTTCCATACGCTGCTCCTTTCCACATACTACAATGACTAATTATTAATTATGTAAGCAATCCCTGAATGTCTCACAATAGAAAATCTATTCCAAGTCTAATAAAAATGTTTCCATGCTTAGGACACTACATTATTTCCTATGTTACTATGTTACATGTTACTATGTTACAGCACTGTGCTCTAACAATGATCCACTAGAAATTGGCATCCTTTTTTTACATGCTATTGCAGAATTATGAAGGAAAGCTGTAAAGCTGGAGTTCTGTGACACTTTACCAGACTGTCAAAATATTAACAATATTTTTAATCACCACCACTACAGGTATTTTCTCTGAGGGCATATTAGAATACCAATAATAAAGGAAAGAAGAGGTTACTGGGGCAGGGAACCTGCAGCCGCAAGGCTACACGTGGCCATCTAGGTCCTCAAGTGCTGCCTTTTGACTGAATTCAAACTTCACAGAACAAATCCCCTTAATAAAAGGATTTGTTCTGTAAAATTTGGACTCAGTCAAAAGGCCGAACCTAAGGACCTACAAGGCCACATGTGTCCTCGAGGCCATAGATTCCCCACCCCTGGATGGGTTAGCCCATCATGAAGGAAATACACAATAGATAAAATTACAAACCAGGACAAGAAACTCTGCCTATTCCATGTTTTTTGTTTGTTTTTGCTTTGTTTTGGTTGTTTCAAGACTTACAAGTAAATGGTATCAATTACATCATAAAGAAAGTGTTTCAATTCTTACATTTTTCAAGCCATATGTATCTCTCCCTCTCCTCCCCACCCATTTTCTCCATAAGCAACTTGATACCACATACCCAGGAACAAAATAAGACTAATTAATTAAGCTAGCATGAGAAGGAAAAGGAAGAGAAATCACAAACCATACCGGAAACACATCTTGAGAACTGAGAAACCCTGAATACCCGAATGAAAAGCCCTCCAGGGTGAAAAAATTAGCTGACCCAAAATAAAGCTACTCTAGCTGTCAGCATTTCTAGTCTTCAGTACAGTAGGGGAAAGGGTCTCTCTGGTTGTCTCCACTTTTCTTAAAATAATAATAATAATAATAAAGTGGAAGAAACCATTAAGCCTCAGAAGCTGTCAATTATCTCTGAGCCACACTCACTCACCAGGAGGTATCATACTTAAATTTTGCACAGTATTTATTCCTTGCTATATATGTCATACAGGCTTCAGTCCCTTGGTCCGCCCCCACCCCACCCCCCTTCCTCATCTCTCACTGCATGTGTGTGTGTGTGTGTGTGTGTGTGTGTGTGTGTGTGTGTGTGTCCATGTGTCTCTCTCTTTCCCTCTCTCTCTCTCTCCAGCAGGAACAGGGGTGAGTGTACTGCTCTGGTTCCTGCCCTGACTTATGCTGGTTCGTTTGGGTTTTTTTTGTTTTGTTTTGTTTTGTTTTTTAACTACCTCCTTCCTCTGGCTCTCTCTTCCTCTCTTTTCTTAGTTCCTCGCCTACTGGTAAGTTCAACAAACACTTTTTCAAGCAACCTTAAAAGTTGTGAGGTTGGGGTTGGGGGGGAGGTGTGCTTTGCCCAAACCGCTCAACTTGGAAATTGACAGTGAACTGCTGAAACCCTTTCCATTGTTTCATTTGTGCTTAATAATATGCTCCTCAGTAAGGCATGGGAAGGGGGCGGGGGTCTTTTAATCTTCTGCCAAAAATTAGTCAAGATAATAGAGTTTATACAAGAGAAAGTTTTGTAATACTCCCTTTTTTTTTGGCCACCAGCAATTAATCAGAAGATCAATATTTGCTAAGAAAGAGATAATCAAAAAAAACACAGAAGTTTTCCTAAACCAGGCTTCTCCTGCCGTTGTCAGGCTACTTTTAGGAAATGAGGGTCCCTGAGTGTTCAGTGACTCATTATTCCTATTTAAAAACAAATATAATGTGAAAATCCAGAGGGCTTACAATAGATTTACTGTATGGAATTAGAGCAATCTTTACACCTGAAAAGTACAGGGTGAATTTATATACAAGTTTAATTGGCCCAAATCCAGACCCTGTGTGCACAGGCTACTATTTATATTTATTATTTGTAGAATCTGAGTAAATGTGGGTCTGATTTCAACCAAAGAGGACCTCTTTAAAGTACACAGATATGTATATGAGTATTTACCTAATCATTTTAAATGTACATATTCCAACTTGTTAATTCTTCCCATTTGGAATTTAATTTTTAAAAATAATGTTCTCCTTCCAACGTTTCCAAGGATGAAGTGTTAACTAAATACCAAACCTCCTTTTAGAAGAGCTTAAAATAACTTCTGGCTGGACAGAGGGTGCCATGTGTCTTTCTGCTTGGTGGTGTGGGGGAGAGGCAGAAGCTATACATAGACAGACATGTGTACCTCATGGGGATCAAATTTAAAATGCCTGTGATTAAGAAGGTGAAGAGGTGCTTTATAAAATTGATTGAGAGAAGCCTGGCTAGATAGAAATGGTATAAAGAAAGGTGAATTTATTTTTTGTCAGTATTTAGCTGATGCTGACAGGTTGCATTGTTAAACTTTGCCTTGGAGGGAGGAGGAGAGAGGGACCTGTCTACACTAAAGAAAATTTTCTGGTTTTTTGTTAAAATCTGGGCATTGAATATACTGGTGAGAGAAAGGGTAAGAGATCTTACATCTATCTCATATGGCACCTATACTTATATTATTTCACTCAACATATTATCATTAGCAAAAACACTAAAAGCCTAAAATAGGGCCTCTTTTTGTAAGAGAGTAACCAACTTTATTGTTAAAGATAAATGGATCACTAGGTATTGACAGAACTGATGTCAACAGGAGCCTAAACGCTGGCTTAGGTTAAAGTTACTACAATTTAATAAAGTATATATGACAAGTGCCAGATCTATTTAATTTGCAGTACTTGACAGAACACAGGCTGAGAAATATCACATACTCCAAGACTTACCAGGACTGATCTTTGCCCAATAATTCAAATAATAATGAGTCAACATTTATATAAAACTTTGTAAGTTATAAAGTTCTTTTACATCATTTGATCCCCATATTAACTTTATAAGGTCAGTCTTTATTATTATTAATAATTATCATTATTATTATTATAAGTTATTATTAATCCCTTTTTGCAGGTTCAGAAACTGAGACTCAGAGAGGTTAAATGACTTTCCTCGGGTTGTACAGTTAGTAAATATCAGAAGCAAAAAGCCAGGACTTGAGTTTTCTGTCAGGAATAGAATTTGAATCACTTCTGACTGCAAATTCAGAGTTTTTTCCTTTAAACCACTGTGCTCTCAGGTTTCTAGCTTTTGGATAGAATGTAAAATAACAAATATCATTGTCTCTAAAAGTAGACTTAAATTGAGGATTCCAACTTGTTTCCAAAAGAGCATGATGGGTAATTCTCCTTGTTCTTCATAGTAAAGCAAGTTCTTTAAAACAATATTTAATGCAACTATTAATTAGTATCATAGAATCTATCACCTTACTTGATATTCACTCAAATGCATCCATAGTAACATCAGTGTGGATATTCCTTCCAATGATGCAAATGACAAATCACCTATGCCCACTCATCTTATATAATGCTTGACCATGTTCTATCCAAAGCTTGCTACTGGGGGAGTATTCCCACTGTGCTTTAAAAAAAAAAACAACTTCACTTTCTCCTCATATCATAAGAATATCAATGAAGCACAGAGGGTGCCAGTTATCTCTTGATCTCACCATGTAACCAGCACATCCCTCTTCTTTGTAGCTTTTTATGTCCTGTGTTACAACCTGGCACACACACACATATGCGTATATACATACATATCCATGTGTCTCTCCATTGTTTTTCTGAGTGATGCTCAATTTTAAATCTTCAGATACTACAATGTTCTATGGCTTGCCGCCATGTAACCTGGGTAGAATATTGGTATTGAAAAAACAGTGCTAAGTTTCTGGGAAAAGTTTTAGGGTACTTAACAGAGCATCACAGTTTCCTAAAGAAGATTCAGCCAATTCTCCTCCTATTTAATTCTAATCCCAACTTCTTGTTCATTTATTCTGGCTATCCAAGATGTAAAGACAGACAAACAGAGACACTGGTGGATGAGTTCTACAATTTATCCATCTAACTATGTCATGCTCAAAAATTCAAATGCATGGGTGGTCTCATCAATCTGAAAGTCCCCTCCAATAATACAGATCTTTATCCAACCATGTCTTCCCAACCCATGTGTGACTCTTACCTATATTTTCCCAAAAGTCCGATGTTCTGCAGGCCTTCTTTACTTCCTCCCAACATTTTACGGTGCCCATGGAATGATTTGGATGTCCACTTGTCATATCTGAATCTTGTCAAGCAACCAACCTATCTTCTCTTTCTATCATAAAAGTCCTTTATCACTTCCTTCACTCCTATTCTTTTTCATAGTTTCCTATTGGTTATAAATTGTAGCCTGCACATGGTAACCATGTGCTTCTCCATTGCTTTCTATGAGAGTCACATCTTTAGCTCTTTGTAGGTAACGGTGTCCCATGTCTTACTGCTGTAGCCAGTAAAATGTTAGTATTGAAAAAAATGATGCTTTATTTTCATGGGAGACTCAAAGTCAGTTAAAAAGCTCTGTAGTTTCCAAAAGCAATTCAGCTTTCTCTCCTCCTCCACTTTGACATTCTGGGCCCAGCTTGTCCATTCACACTCTCTATCCCAGATATATTACATATATATATATATACACACACACACATATATATGTATATATACACATATATATGTATTTATGTAGTTATGTGTACATGTACATGTGTATACATTTATGTATAAATTGCATGTATATGTACATGTGTGCACACAAATAGATATCGATGTACACACACACACACACACACACACACACACACTGTTGGTTGAGCTCTGCAAGGTATCCATTGAAATGCATGTTGAAATCTGTGCAATAAATTTTCTTCATTTGCTTGCACTTTCCTGCACTGAGGAATAGGCCAAACTTTTTAAGCCATTACAGATTTCTTCCAGGAGTCTCTGCAGTGTTATGGGACATGATAATCATCACAATGTCATCTGCAGAAAGAAGTGTCTGGAAGACCACATCATCCACAAGGAATCTCTGTCCCCAGAGCTCTGTGCTCAGTCTCTGCCATCACAGGGGTGACTACCCTTGGAGAGCACATAGCTTCTGTTTTATGCTTCAATTGATGTTTGTTATTATTGTAGATGTGTTCTCCTATAGAATATTTCTTATAATAACCTACTAGTTCTCTGTCTCATTAAGAATGCCCTTGCTTATGATTCTCAAAAAGTTTTTATGTAGATGGAGAAGTAACCACATAGGGCAGCAGATGTTGATGTCCTGTTGCTCACCTTGGTGAGAGGTAGTGCATTGAGAAGTTTGGAGATTTTTTTCCCCTTATGGTGGTACTTTCTCTTCTGTCAGATACTTTGTGACTCAATCATATTCCCACAATTTTGCCCCCTCCAACACAGATCTTCTCCTTGTACACTTGGTCTAACCTACCTGCTTTTTCTGTCTTTGTTCTCTTTAATGCCACTTCTGTCTCCTTTATAAGCATATGCAGGGCCATGACATTAGAGTCCAGATGTGATGGCTCTATTGTCTTTGGTGATGAAAAAAGTTCTATACATAGTGTACAAATCCTTTCAGATCGTTTCCGTTTTTTTTAATATTTGTTGTCCTCCATCCAATTCCTCTCTTGGTAGGATTTTGTTTAATTGTGTCTCCCATGAAGTTTCTTTAAACTGGTTTTACCCTCCAGTGCTTCTTTCTGTGTTATGAGATAGTTCTGTTCATCATCTCACATTATCCTGTTATGTAAGACCTTACAAATGAGTTTGTATTGTAAAAAGGTGTTACTTATGGCTGCCATTGATCTCCACTTTGTAATTAAGTCAAGTGTTTCTGCCTAACATGCTTTTTAGGCACTTTTGACCTTCTTGTTATGGCAATTGATTTATATTGGCTAAACTTCTATGTGAAATCATTGTAATCTGTCAATTGTAATCCTTTGAATCAATAACCTTTCAAACATTTATGAAGTGTCTACTATGTGTGAGATACTGTGCTAAGTGTTGGAGATTTAAAAAGAGGCAAAAGGTGGTCCCTGAACTCAAGGAGCTTACAACCTAATTTCTTCCAATCATATTTATGATCAATATCTTGATTAAATGGGTTGAGGTTTTTGTTGTTTTGATTGTATACAACATCTTTTTTCTTATTTTTATTCTTTCTTCTACTTTTGTATTAATTTTCATCTTTGTTTTAACAAATACGTGTTCTAACCACATACAGCCAGTTTCTTAAATAATAAATCCCACAGCCACACACAGTGGGTGTGCAAATGTTCTCTGCTGCTTCTGAGGCTGAGATTGGTGAGGTTGAGTTCAAGAGTCTTAAGCTGCTGTAGGGCCAAAGCCAGTCAAGTTTCCTCACTAGGTCTGGCAACAATATGGTAAGATCCAAGGC